TAGATAATCAGATAGATAGTCAGATAGATATTTATATAGATAGATGATAGATAATTAGATAGCAGAGCCACCCAGGCACCCCCGATTTTTAATTTTTTGAGGAAGCTTCATACTGTTTTTCATAATGGCTATACCAGCTTACGTTCCTGCTAGCAGTGTATAAATGAACCATGTAGTTCAGATCTTCAGATCAAGAGACTCTTTGGGCTCATAAGCCCCACAATTAAACAAGTGAGGTCTTTGAGGCAGACAGATCTGGACTTGCCTGCCTGGGCATGTTGCATAAGTAGGCTGAGTCTTCTCTTACTCACCTGCTAAACGGCCATCTCTCACATGGGGGTCAAATGGAGTAAATCAGATGAGTCCTATAAAGACCTGAGCAGAGCTTCACCATCAGTACTAGCTACTGGTCCGACCGCGGCCATAGTTTCCTGAAGCCACACGGGTGCAGTGGTCACTTCGATTTCTAGCTCTCTGACTGCTACATGTTGGGTCCTCCCTCCAGTAAATTTTCCTCCACCTTGAACGTCCTCACATATGCTTCCTCCAAAACATTTTGTCCCAGTGAGTTCCCAATCAGAAAGATCAAAGCTCTCCTTGGTCACATCTCCTTTCCCCCCAACGGGAAACCAGCATAGCTGAAAGTCAGTTGCACTTGCCAGGATATATTTCCATTCAGATGTGCAAGTACTGACAAAGGTACCCCTGGTCAGCAGCGCTGTGCTTCTCATCCTCAGGAATCTGCAGTCAGCAAGCTTGGCTGCCCCTTGCTCCAAAAGCCACTACTTAAGATGGGAGTTTTGAATGGAAAGGAATATGAGCTTTATTCTGTTGGCGGGCCACCTGGGGAGAAGGTGGTAGGTAGACTCTTGTCCAAAGGCCAACTCCAAGGTTTCTGCGTGGCCCAGAGACCTTTTTAAAGGGGTTTAGGGCAGTGAATTCATTAAGGGAGTGCAGTGGTCTGTAATATTTCTTGATTCCGTGCAGACTCAATAGCGCTGGCTATGGATGTTACTGCGGTGCTCAGAAGTTGTGCAAGAGATCTGGTTCCTTGGTGCCCAGCAGGTGGTGCAGGAGAGTTTGGTGAGGTGCAGAAGTGCTCCGCTCCTTCTATCAAGAATGCATGATCTATGGATATGGGAAGAAAGATTTAGTTAATCAATCACGTGGGCTTAAAGACTACTAGGTTGGCCAGGGGGCCGAGGCGGCTTCCAGCTCAGGCAGACTTCTGAGCAGCAAATCAGCCTTCCAGGACACTGCAGGACAGCTGGGCAGCCCTCAGCCTACCACCATGAGGTAAAAGGTTTTTTCTTGCATTGGTCTCTTGAAATTGTGTCTAGAAAAATCTCAAGACAGATTTTTTTTAAGTGCTAGATTTCGGCGCCGGCCTAAATATTTAATGTACCTTAAATCTAGATCATAATTGTTGCAGGAATTTTAAATTTTGCAGCACTTTTCAGATGCCCACAGGCTCTCCCCAGTGGAAGCTTTTAGAAATCCTAGCCAGGAAGCAGCCAGAGGCTGGAGCAGGGAAGAAAAGGCACAGGAGGCATTGCGGGAAGGGGGAGGGGCAAGTTTATTTCATTCTGTTGCAGGCAAATTTTCATCAGTTAAGGATGCCAACCCGGCAGAAATATTCTTACAAGCTTTTGTTTTCCTGTTTTTCATATGAAAGGAAAGGTCAGGAGCTTGGGGTTATTTAATTATAATTTTTAAGGGAAGCATACTCTTTATAAGCTCAGCATTGGATGCCCTAATAAAGGATGGGCTGGATTTAACTAATTATTTTCCAAAGAACCGCAGTGGGGCATTAAACCAGAATTCACATCTCTGAGGTTGCCCAGAGCCTCCAGAGAAATTGGGCTCCATCAGTCCCAGTACCCACGCTTTCCTTTTCTGTTTTGTTTTTAATCTTCAGTGATCTTTAAAAACAAACAAAAAAATCCAACTAGAATCATGAAGGACTTTTTTCAGTATAAAGATACTATGAGCACGCTAAAGAACTTGGGGAAAATGCCAGCTAGTCTAAGGGGAAAAATTCAATTGTCTCTTATATAACCCACCAGGAATAAACTATTTCAACATTTGAGAGAGATATATGTATGTGTGTGTGTGTGTGTGTATATATATATATATATATATATATATATACTTTATTAAGTAGATTTGGGGGGAAATCTTTCCAAAGTTGAGGGTATAGATTCCATACAGTTTCATCTTATCTTTTCACTTAACATTATATTGTGAGTGTTATCAGTAAAATTTTTCAACATCATGAGTATCAAGGTCTTCGATAATGCTGCAAAATATGGATGTATTATGATTTCTTCCTTCCTTCTTTCCCTTTGTTCTTTCTTCCCTCCCTCCTTCCCCCCTTCCATTCCTCCTTCTTTCTTTCCCAATTCCTTATTTATAATCAAATTTATGCATTCACACCATTTAAATAGTCAACATGATCTACAGGGTTAGAAAAACAGCATCCCGCAACCCCCACCATATTTCCCATTCTCCAGAGGCCATCAGTAATTCTTCTAGTGACTCTTGTGCTATTTATAGCCATATACTTAAATAACATGATTATATTGGTAGCTCTTGATTTTTCAATTTTAGCCATTATCTATTTGTTTTCCACCATTGAAGCCCCTCCCCAACACACACACACACACACACACACACACACACACACACACCCATCCTCTCCTACATCGTCCCCTCCCAATATCTCTTTGTGACTTTGGTTGGATTGATATTCAGTATTTGGATTATTACAACCACACAAACCCTACTCACAGCTGAGTCCTGTCTGGTTCTCCCATGACCTTTCTTTTCCCATATTTTGTTTCATTTTTTCTGAAGTTAAAGGAAACAAACAAACAAAAGTGGTTTTGTTTCTTGTTTCTTTTTTTTAGGTTTCTAAGTACTTATCACCATCTCAGCCCCGAGCTCTATTCTAGTTGAACAAAACTCCTTTCCACATTTTCAAACCTGAGGCGAGCTGCCCTTGTCATATTTTGGTGGCAATCATTCACAGGACCTTTGACCTACTCCTGTCTACACTGGCTGCACTCCAGGTCCGTGGGGAAAGCACGGACTATTTCCTTCTCCCTCCCATCTTATGTAAGACCTTCTCTTGCGCTGAGCCCTGTGTTTCCCACATCCCATTTCTTTATTTACTACCTGGGTTTACTCCTAATTTTGAGGGGGGTATCTCCTCTCAGCTTCCTGAACAAGTGTCTGTAACGTAAATTTTTTGCTTACGTGTATGAAAGGGTCTCCGCACTTCCCTCACATTTAAATGATTATGTGGCGAAATTTAAAATTATCTTCCCACAGCTTTTGGGAGGCATTTCTCCATTGTCTTCTAGCTTTTCAAGTCATTGTCGAGATGTTCAACAACATTTGGATTCTTGTTGTGTTATATACACCCTTTTCCCCCTGGAACTGTAGAATTCTGTCCCCAGTGTTCTAAAAGCTTACCACCAAGTACTTGGTAAAGGGTTAGTTTTTATTATTATTATTTAATAAGGTGTTATTTTTCAAAACGTGCCTTTGGTAGGATGTGTTCCGAGCGTCTTCACCAGTACCTGGGACACCCCCACCCTCGGTGTTTCTGGTGTAAATGACTTCAGCTCTGTGCTCTGAGACCAGTTTAATAACGAAGCTCCTGGAGGGCTGCCCTGGCCAGGGAGTCCTGAGTCTCTCAGAAACAACCACTGGGGGTCTAAGTTTACAGTTGGGAACTCTGCACAGATTTGTCATATGTCACTTTGTCAAATGACACTGGGTTATTGACCTTGTTCTGAGCTTTGCCTTTGGACCACTTGTTTCTGGCCTTGCCCCCAGATCTGTGCCCTGGATCTTTGTCTTTCTTAGCCAACTTCCCGGCATCTCTCTTCTTGTCCTTGGGCGGCATCGAAAAGCTCAAGGAGCTAATGCTCCCCCTGCAGCCTCGCTAAGATGTCCGACAAAAGGGGCTAAAGTTTATTTTTACCATGTGGAAACTTACAGCCTTCCATTCAGGGAAACTTTATTGCATTCTTCTAGAATGTTCTTTCTTCCTTTCATTTCCCTTGTTCCGTCTAGAACTCAAATTATTCAGATGTTGCTCCTCCAAGGCTGTCCCTCTAATTTTCCGTGTTATGTATCGTATTTGTCCTCTTTTTATCTGGTTGTTGTACTATTGAAAAGATTTTTTTTTTTTTTACCATTTTTCCTTTCAATCTTAATCTTCTGAGTTTTTCACTTAATTTAATTGTTTTAATTTCCAAGACTTCTTCCATGTTCTTTAAATGTTTGGGGCTTTTTTTTTTTTTTAAAGCATTTGCTTTTATTCCACGGATGCAGCATCTTCTCTCGTATCTCAATTTATCGATGACCCTTTATTTGTTCCTATTCTTGTTGTTTTAAGTCTTCTGCTCCCTTCAGGACAATTTTACCATGTGCTTGTTTGGGCCACTGTCCTCCAGGTGAGAGGCCTTTCCTAAAATATCTGGAGATCCTCTGAGGCCCGTTCATGATTGAGAGAGAAACACTAAAATGCCAACAGGAAGCCTGGAGCACCTGCAAGGGGCTTCCTGTTACGGTGACCTCACTGCCCCATTTGAGGAGGAACCCCTGATGTCTGTCTCCTGGACTTCCTTGACTTCCTCCGTAACAGGCTACTCATCCCTTGCCTGGAAGAAATAAGCCTGGCTGCCGCACTTTTAGAGCTAACTCGGGAAGATGTGGTCTCAAAATTCTATATGCAAACATTTATTTAGCTCTCTCATTTGCTGTATAGTACCCGAGGCATCCAGCTGTGCCTATAACCATAGTCCAGGACCGTCTCTTTTATCCTCTGTACAGAATACACCACAACCTTCTGCTACATTAGGGGGTGGGCGTTGCAAGGACTAGAGGCAGAGTCTATGGGATCAGTGTTCCTGTTGAAACAGAGCCGGACTAGACTCGGGTCCCCTCAATCCTAATCGGAACCCCAGCATTCCCGGACAGCTGAAACCATGCCCCTGAGTAGCACACCTTGCAGGAACACAGGGGGCAGGAAGCTTACCAAAGGGGGGCTCCACCAGGAAGACTGGTAAAGACAAAACCAAACCAGTCTGCTCTGAGGTGGACCCCAGCGCTGACCCTTGACAAACTTTCTCCGTCTTTATACTAAAAATCATGTCCATGGGCGGGGATTTAACATGCTAATGAGACATTTTGGTGTAGGTTCTGTCCACTGCACCTGCATGCCCAACTTCCTGTCTCCCTTCCCCACCTACGTGCTTAGACATCACTCCTTTCCTGCCTCAGTCTCTTTCTTAAAATCTTTCCCTGGCCTTTGTTCTGGGAGCCAGCATGGAGGGTCCTTTCCTTTGTGTTGTTTGCCTTGTGCTCGGGCATAAGCCCCAATAAAAGACTTGCCTGGAGCTTCCTGTTTGGCGTCTGGTCGTTTTCTATTGCTGGAGAGCCCAGGGACCCCGCTTCACTCCTACACACACACACACACACACACACACACACACACACGCACGCACACACACTTCTGCAGCACTTTGTGCTGCTAACTCCTGAGCCTTTGGGGAATTCTGCAGTATCAATGGGTTGTTTCTTAGGTTCCCCCACTGGTGGCAGAGTTAGCTTTCCCATGTTCCCATGTTTGGAAAAACCAATCCCCACTTGTCTAGCTGTGTCAGGGTTTCCGAGATTCTGCCGTCTTTGTGTTCTCTTTGCTTTATGGTTAGAAGCCTTCATAGACCATGTCATCTTGGTAGGATTTGATCAAGGAGGGAGCTAAAACAGTCTCATGTGTTCCGTGGATAGTCTCTTGATACCTTTATTTACTTTCCACCATCACCTAGTTTAAAATTTTAAGCAGTTGTAACTGATCCTGCGATGAACATCCCTTGTTCACAAACTTCTGCGGCAGTCAGGGTGCAGCCAGAGAAGCTGAGGCTGGAGATATACAAGAAGAGACATGATGCAAGGAATCAGCCTATGTGATGATGAGGGCTGGCTGGTCAAGTCCAACTCCACAGGGCAAACCATCAAGGAAGGCAGACCAGGACTCCAGGGCATGGGTGTCAGTGGCTGTCCACTGGCAGAATTTCTTCATCAGGGAGCCTCAGCACTATCCTCGAGCCTTTCAACTGATTAAACCAGGCCCGCCCAGGTAAAATAAAATAATCTTTCTTACTTAAAATTAAATGCTTGTGGACTTTAATCACGTCTACAGAATACTTTCACAGCAACATTTAGGTTCATGTTTGATCTAGTAACTGGGCACAATAGCCTAGCCAACGTGACACATGCATAGGCCATCACAACCTTTGACTGCATGTCTGGTTTTCTATACATTCTTAATATTCAGATTTTTAGTCAAGAGCTCCTTGTATGTTTTGCCACAATTCCCTGCAAGTTTTATGTCAAAGTATGTTCTGAACCGTCATGTATAAGTAAAAGTGCCCAGCTGTGATTCTTAAAAATCTTTTTTGTGTAACTGAAGCTTTAAAAGCCATTGAAATACCGTTGATTTAATTTGCATTTCTTTGATTAGTGACTTTTTTTTATATGTGTGTTTTTTTATGCGTGTGTTTCGAACTACCTGCTCATATTAGTATCTACTGAAATACGAATACTAAAAGCGCCTTTTAGATATTAAACGGAATACCTCTTGTCATGCTTATAATCTATTTTCTAGTTTGTCCTTTGATTTTTGTGAATAGCATTTGCATGTGGGCTCTTTGTGTCCTGTTTCTCATCTGCTCTAGATGTCTCTGTAAGGAACCTGACTACTGTCTTTGTGACCACTGAGCAAATCAAAAGGGTGGTGGACCACAGCATCAGGTGGCACCCACCCGGGGAGAGAGTGGAGAGTATTTGAGTTGTTCTAGTTCGTGAATCTGCCCGAAGAGCCAGCTCAGCAAAGGCAGAGACAGTGACACAGGCGGGGCTACACTTGTTGGCCCAATGTCAGATGGACCAAAAGCCTGCCCCGAGCCAACCTGAATAAATTAACACTCTGTGCACACTCCATCCCTTGGAAAGGACCCGAGGGATATCTATTCACACCCAGCCCCAAACGATCCCCCTCTCATCTCTTGGTGTCTTCAGCCCAGCATTTCCTCTTAGTTTCCCTGAATATTTTGGTGGATCAGAAGTCCAGGCTCACACCCTGGTTTCCATGCTTGAGAGAGGAAACAAAAAACCAACCTCACTCCATATTATTACTCAACTACCGCACCATTCTCCGATAATTTCTACAGAGAAATTTCCTTGCTTTGCAGTTGGAGGTCCAGGACTGCTGTGCCCATCCTTCTCTAAGACAGGTGGAATTGGGGTGTCCCTGGGTAATAAATTTCCTCCACTCCCCCTTCCTTCTGGGCCATCCCATCGACTTCCATCCATTTGGGGGGCTTTTACAAAATACCACAGACTGGTAGCTTATAATAAACAACAGAAATTCGTTTCTCACAATTCCGGATCAGAGTGCCAGCACTGTTTGGGCCTCTTCTCAGAAATGGTCAGGGGGCCATGCCCTAAACTTGTTGCTTTGTCCATCTGCTCACTCACATCCCCAAATGTCTGCTCTTCTTCCCCTACAGTGAAATCACCAAACATTCCCTGGAAAATATCTTACTGCAACTGAAATGCCATTTCACCTGGAACTTACATGATGAAGAAAGTTCCTTAGATGATCTGGAGAACAGAGTGCGTGACCAGGCACGGTTTCTAAACAAAGAATTCAAAGCAATCATGTACAATCTGTTTGCCTATGTTAAACACCTCCGAGGCCAGAACAAGGCGGCTCTGGAATATTTACAGCAAGCAGAAGAGTTCATCCTGCATGGACAGGCCCGCCAAGGCAAAATCCGAAGTCTGGTCACCTGGGGAAACTATGCCTGGGTCTATTATCACATGGGCAGGCTTCCAGAAGCACAGGCTTACGTTGACAAGGTAGGACATCTTTGCAAGAAGTTTGCAAGCTCCTACAGAATTGAATGCCCCGAGATTGACTGTGAAAAGGGATGGGCACTTTTAAAATGGGGAGAAAAGTATTATGAACGGGCTAAGGAGTGTTTTGAGAAGGCTTTGCAAAAGAAACCCACCAATCCAGAATTCTCCCTGGGACTGGCCATCACACTCTACCGTCTGGGTGACAAAGCACCAACAGAGAACACCATTTGCCTGCTGAGGCGGGCCATCCGACTGAATCCTGACAACCAGTATATTCACATTCTCCTGGCTCTGACTCTCCAAAAGACCCAGAAACAAGCTGAAGGAGATAAGCTAGTCGAAGAGGCCCTGAAGAAAACGCCGTGCCCAACAGACGTCCTCTGCAGCGCAGCCAAATATTACCGAAATAAAGGTACTCTGGACACGGCTATCGAATTACTTAAAAAGGCTTTAGAATCGGTACCGAACAACGTCTATCAACATCTGCAGATCGGATGCTGCTACAGAGCAAAAATCCGGCAAATACAGAGGTCAAGGAGGTACACCACGAAGGAGAATGAAGAAGAGCTGCAGGAGATGACGAGACACGCGGTGGATCACTTTAAGAGAGTTGTCGAGTTGAATATTAACCTTCCCCGCGCCTGCTCAGACCTTGCCTGCCTCTATGCCATCATGGGCCAGTATGATAAGGCGGAGCATTACTTCCAGAAAGAATTCAGTAAGGATCTGCCTCCAGCGGAGAGACAAGTCCTCCACCTGCGCTATGGAAACTTCCAGCAGTACCAGCAGCTGCGTGATGACACCGCCATCAGTCACTACCTGCAGGGCTTGAACATCAATGGGACAGTGACCGAGAAGGAAAAGCTGATCGTCAACCTAAGAAAAATTGCCCACAAGCGACTCTCTGAAAACACCTTCGATGCTGTGGGTTGGCAACTCTCCAGGTTCATTCGCGAGCTGAATAGAAAGGGGCACCCGTGGGACAGTCCGCCCCCAGAGGCCGCCCTGCGGGCTGAGAAGGGCAGTGAGGAAATGACAGAGGGTGCGGGTGGGGCCCGCCACCCAGAGGAGCGGAAGGCCCTAGAGAGAGCCTGTAACCAGTCTTCGGGGCTTCCGAGAGAGAAGAGACAGAGCGAGAATGAGACAGAGGGGTAGGAGGCCTGGCGAGGTGGTCACAAAGGGGAGGGAAACGGGGACACAGAGAGACAGAGAAGCTGCAACCTGCAGGAGCTGGGCCAGATGGCTGGGCTTTTCATTTTGCTGTCTCTTTTTCCGGGTTCCCCAAATTCTCTCAGCCAGACCTGGAAATGCAGAATCACTTTTCCTCTGTCCTATAGATATTTTGAGCAAAAGCTCCTTTGAGGGCAAGCACTTGCTTTGGGACCATGGGACTCTGCTTTAGTCTCAGTTTGCACCCCCCAGCTCTCACCCAGCGCCTTGCACTCGGCCTCGCATACAGTAGGCACTCAACACCGCTGACAGAACGAGAGAAGACAACATCACTGAGGCTTGGTCCTCTTTCCTTGCTCCTTCAGCTCCCAAATGAATTCCATACAAACCAAAAATTTAAATGTTTAAAAAGTAGAAATCACAAAATTTCTACAGGAATTCTTGAGAGGATTTTTTAAATCACAGGTCTGGAAGTTGTGAGTATGAAACAAAACACGAAAGGGCAAAAGTATTAAGAAATTCAACCACATTAAAACACGCTTCATAGAGGAGTGACCTCCGGAAAGTCGAAAGATCAATGACAGACTTAAAAATACTGTTTCAGTACATTACCGGGGAAAGGATTAACTTCCTTAATGATGAAACAGTTCCTTTGGACAAATGGGCAAAGGTCAGGAAATTAAAATGGCTTAAACATGTGAAATGATTGTCAATGTTGCTCTTATTAAGAGCAAAGCAAACCAACACTATTAAGAGAGGTCATCTCAGGTCAACCAAAGAAACACCTTTCAAGAAAAGGGTACTAACAAGGATGTGGGTAAACAGCCTCCATCATGCATCGCCATTGAGATTATAAATTGTGTAGATGGACGGCATTTGTTGATGGCAATTCAGCATTCGTGAATCTTCGCCCCAGCAATTCCACTCATTAATCTATCCTGTATTTGCATACGCATGCAAAGTCATGTATAAAGATACTCATGAAGCTTTGTTTATAATAACAAAGGACTGACAACAACTCAAAGGTCCATCACTAGGGGACTCATTAATTCAATTTTCATATTTCACACACAGAACAGCATGCAGCTATTGTAAAAACTAATAAGGTAGTTCTAAATGTAAAAATATAGAACACTATCTCTGAGATATATTAAAAAATAAAGAATAAAAGTGCAGAAGAGTGTATACAGCGTGCTAACATTGTTCAAAGGAAGGGTAGGAGGAGGAAGAAAAGCATATCACATTATGCATAGACTATTTGGAAAAGGATATATTTCCTCCAGGGTAGCCTCCAGAGAAGGAACAGGCTGTCTGGGAGTCCGTATGGGAGGAAGACATATATTTCAACTGCATAGATTTTTAAATTTTGAATTTGATACCCAGAGCATATATCACATTGTCAAAAAAAGTATGCCACAGAACAAATTCAAAACAAAAGATGGTCACGCCAGAGTGCCAGGACCACCCCACTCGTGTCTATTCTGCAACTGGTTCCTTCTGGGTCCAAGCCACACTAATCAACGTCTGAAGATCTCTGTACCTAATCGACGAGTCTCTGGATTCCCGGTCTTCCTCCATGCCTTCAGCTTTACTCCCACCACCCACCCACTCACCCCGCCACTAACATGTACAACGTGTCCTCTACTCTCTTCGCCGATCCATAATGGTGTCCATCGCAACTGATCCTTGAAACTGTAACCATGTCCTGGACCTTTGCTCTGACTGCTCTCCTCCAACTATCCCACTCTGCTCTTTCGCCATCCGTGTTCAGGAATTTACTTTTTGTGCAACAAACTTTTCTCGAGCTCCTCAAAGCTGTCAAGGAACGTGATGAATGAGAATGTACCAAGATGAAGGTCACAACTCTTTAAGTTCGTGCTGCAATATTGTGCTTCTGTCGACAGCACTCACCCTGTAGCTGTCTCATTTCCCGAGAAAGAGGGAAGAGCTTCATCCACCCCATGTGCTGCCAGGGTTGCAGGGCTCGCCCCCCTCTGTCATTAGAAGGATGAAAGTTTAACCTTCCCTCAGATCACAAACTCCAAAGAGTTCATGGTGATGCTTCCCTTCCCTGACACCTAGGGGCAATCTTAACCGGTGTTGCTTGGCCTTGCATGTTATGGGGATCTCTGCCTGTAGCGCTTTAGTAACTGCAAGAGGAACCCAAAGGAACATGCCAAGTCTGGTTGGAAACTCAAGTAGCCACGGTTTTGCTTCCAGAGAGCTGGTGGAGCAGCCGGTGAGAGAGGTGGAAAAGCTCCTGCTGCTAAGTTCAAAGAGAACCAGAAGTCAGTATACATGCAGAGATGCATTTCCACACATTTCGTCTGCTGTCCCTCATACCTTTATGTGGCCTTTTTCATCTCTCTTTTATCTATGAATGCTTCCGTGATAATCAGCTTTTAAAACTCTTTATTCTCAGAATCAGACACCGACAAATATTTGAGGCATACTTTGAAGGCACTGCTTCATTGAATAAATGCTCTCCATCGAGGGATACCATCAACAGAGGTTCTGTGTGCGCACAGGAGTCTCTGGGGCCCAGAAGGTGAACACAGAACCCCAGCCCGTGGCAGAGGACGTGGGAACACGAGAGTTAATGTCACAAAGAGCGTCCCAGGGGGTGGAGCCGGGGATATGGAGAATGATGGCAAGGTTCTCATCAGAGAGCAGAATCTGGGTCTAAGAATCTTCCAAATGCCTATCCAGCAGACGTTCACCATTGCTACTGACTTGTGACCTCTGAGCTTCCTCCATGTTCCCTTTCTTCAACTGGGATGTTTCCTATGGTTCTTGTGCCAAACAGAACACATAGGAGGTACCTAATCTTATCTAGTCTTTTAGGTGTTTTTCTCACCAGACCACAGGAAGCCACACCCTGTCCATTGAGGGGAACCATGCAGCACCAAGAGTTCCCTGAGCATAGCTGGGCACAATGGTTGCCTTGACTCTGGGTTGACTCTCTTGGGAAAGGCCTGAGTATGTTCTGTGTTTAAGAAGAAGGGCACATTGTGGGTATTTAGGGTGTGAAGAGTCCTCTAGCAGATGTGAGTAGTATTGAACTAGCCACCAGCTCATCTAGGTAGATAAAGCTTATGTCAAACATTCTCTACAGAGGCAGAGAACAAAAAAGAGGGCCATTTTTTTTTTCCCGTGAATCTCAAGAAAAACCTGTAGAGTTTTGTTTTATGGAATTAAAAGAATTTTTACTTACAGTCAAAATATAATGTGGTTCTCATACTTTATAGCATGCATTAGGATTATTTGGAAAGTTTACTAACACAGAGATTCCTTGGCTCCACTCCTAGAATTTCTGATGCATTTTATTGAGGATGGAGCCTGAGAATTTTCATTTGTGACAGGTTCTCAGGTGAAACTGAAATTTCCTGGGGTTGATGTGGCCACGCAATGAGGAAATGGCTTTCCTCATTCTGAGAACAGAAAACGAGGAGTCTCCCTTAGGCTAGGCTGAGACAGGGACAGCCTCAGGCCTACATTTATGTGTCTGGGACAAAGACACATAAAGAGTTGTAACAGCCTGACTAATCAGAACTCTCGCTGAGTAAGTTTCATTTTTCTCATCACAGACATATTACCAGAAGAGAGTTGGTTTTGTTTTCCAGTTTCTATTTTGCAATCCCACTGCATCTTCTAACACGAACCCAGCTGCCAGAGCCGCTGGTGCAACCCTCTAGTGAACGTGAACGCACTATATACACAGGCCCTGGCCATACGGATTTCTGAAGGGTAACACAGTAGCTCCAGGCATTTCAAAACACAGCTAGCAAGTGCTTTCCCTGTGCTTCTCCCCACCTGGTACCTTTATAATAAGATTTAAACATTTCTATCCAATCGTCTTCTTGAGTGCAAATTCAAAACAACACCAAAAAACCCCCATGCTGTTCCTAGTTTCCTTCTGCAGCATTTCTTGTACACCTAACATATATTTTTAAAAAGATTTTATTTATTTATTTGAGAGAGAGCATGAGCAAGGGAAGGGGCAGAGGGACAAAGAGATTCCCCACTGAACGGGGAGCCAAATACAGGGCTGGATCCCAGGACCCTGAGATCATGACCTAAGCTGAATGCAAATTGACCCAAGCTGAGCCCCTAACATACATTTCTACAAATACAATACTAGAACTTGTAACTCCTGAATGACACCTAAAAGTAAGGGTTTCCATTTGGGATAGGCTGGGCTGTGTGTCCCAATCAAAGGGTAGAGAACCGTCAAGAAGCATAGCTTCTGCTTCTGCCCCACTGCTCGCAGACACAACCTGCCATCCATAAGGCTTTCTCCAAGACTGAACTACGCACTTCAGCTGTACTCAGTGGTCCTGGAGAGTAGGCTTCCTTCGTGCTCTGTGTAATTTCCTGACATCAGACTCCTAGTGCTGTTACCTCTTTTCCTCTTGGGTCCACACATACAGTAATCCCTTTGCGATCAAGGGTATGAATAAGGAAAAAGCAAAGAAAGTGCATTTCTTCCATTATAGCAAACTGCCATGGTTGCAAATTACGATGCGGGAGTGCTGGACACCAGGGTGAGCCAAGGGATTTTAAATGTTGTGGTGCTTGGGGAAGCCCAGAATGTGTACAGGTGTTAGGAGCTGTTTGGCTTAGGTTAGCACGCGTGACGGATGGATGGTGGACTATCAGGGGAGCTAAAGCTCTCCAAAAGGCAACATCAAAAGTTTCCCTTCTGGTCTCTTTGGTTAATAATGACTATAGCTATAAATTATTATAAAAAAATTGCATGCACTTATTATGTGCCAGGCATAGTCCAAGGACATTTCATGGCTTTAACCCATTTGATCCTCACAACACCGTTATGAGTTGGTAGTAGTAGTGGGATCCCCATTCCATAGGAGAACAAACTAAGGCACAGAGAAACGTTCGATAATTTCCAGTGTCACAGCTCATACATGGAGCCTGGGTTCAAATCCAGACAGATGACATCAGAGCCCGCAGTTCTGATCACGTATTCATTCATTCAACCTCTACCTTCTGAATGCCTGCGTGTGGCAGCTATTACCGCAGGGACTAGAGATTCAGCAGTGAATGAAACAAACAAAAGCCCACATGTGCCCCTTACTGGGGTCTGAGGGCCATGCTGGTGATAAGGGCGGGCAGAGCGAGGATGGGTTAACATTGCGGTAATGAGGCAGGGTGCTTGGTGCTTGGTACCTGTGTCCTTCTCCAAGCTGGGCCCCCCTCATGTCAGCTTATCTGGGACATCACCACAGTCAGAAAGAGGGAGTTCTGACTCACTACAGGGTGGGGGTTGGGGGGTGCTATAGGCACGGCTCTTACTCAAGATTCATTTCCTCTTAGAGCCCTGTTAGTTGTACTTTCCAGTTTCAGTTTCTTTTTCCTAAAGCGAAGCACAGGAAAACAAGGCAAAGGAACCAAGAAATGCTTCCATATATAGGCCTCCTGAACATCTCTTGGAGGCAGAGGAGGAAGATTTCTGAAGAGCACTGTAGCCTGAATTGCAGCCTTTCGGAACAGCCGGGAAGCACTCCGCAGTCATGAGGTAAATTTTCCTGCCCTGATCGTGTTGAAAATGTCCAATCAGTCTTGCTGTGGAATGCAAATCCCACGCAGCCCTACTCCGTAAGCACAAGCGCCTGGTTGTTTTGCCTCAGTGTCTGACTGTAGCCTTTCCGTGATCTAGGTCGTGTATTTGTCTCGTCACTGCTGGCTTGTTTATTTCTGCGAATTTCGGACCCACACTGTCAAGCCTCCTCAGGGCATCTCTCACGGGGAAGCTACAGCTGAGGGCCAGAGGAGGGAGGGAGGAGGGAGGGCAGACGGAGAGATGTTTACCGGCAGGTGCTTCATTTAAAGATGGGTCCGGCGGGGGCAGCGGGGGGGGGCTCCTATAGACTGTCTCTCTCTCTTGTTTCTTATTTGAAAGGATGAAGCGAGGGGCTTTTAATAAGATTCTTATTTAACAAAGGATCTGTTTTTAGCAGATAGGGTTAAAATGTACTCCAGGTAGCAACCCCAGCTCATGCTAAGGTAGATTTTACTTTTAATGTGTTCGTTCATCTCATATGTGCATTAGGGCTGGTAAAATGTATCCATTCATTCGACAGAAATATATTTTACCCCAAAATGCTACTGATTGGCTAGAGTCCTTCTCTCTGAAGTATGAATTGGATGTGGGGGGCTTGGAGAAAATAGCCCCTACCTCTAAAATGCTCTTACACCCCAGAAACATAAGATTGCCCTGCGAGGAAGCAGGGTAGGAAGGGAACTTTCTGTTTTGTCCAGTGTGAGGGTGTGGCCAGACGAGATGCCTCAGCCTCAGTCCGGGGAGCTCCGGCATGCAGGAACGCCAGTCCCAGCTCTCATTTCCTAGAGGACACATTGCCCTCCTTCTATAAGCTTCCTGATGTCTCTTCTCGAAGCGATATATTTTCTGCTACTCTGCATGTCTTCCTGATAAGAAAGAAAAAGATCTGATATCTCTCCAGATGTCTATTTCTAGAGTAACTCAGAATATTTAGAAACCTTGTTCCTACTGCTTAGAACTTTAGCATGGTCTTCTCTTCGAATCTCTCCCTTAATAACACAAACCCACCAGCCTCTTTTTTAATTTTCTTTGATCCCTTAGCTATAGGCACTGTCACCAGGCATTGGCCCTGTGCTCTAAGACAGTGGTTTTCAAATCTGAGCATGTGTAAGATCTATCTGGAAGGCTTGCTAAAGACAATTCCTGGGCTCAACCGCCCCCCCCCCACTTCAGATTCTGATTTGGTAGTCCTAAATTGAGGTCCAAGGATGTGCATTTCTAACAGGTTCCTCAGTGGTGTGAGTAATGCCCTAAGACACTGGCGGCAGCATTAGCTTTGGGCCTGGTAAGCGGTGTCACTGTGGCTTTCATGAAGACAAGAAGCAAGGCAAGACATTGCTGTGTGTAAACAGTTGGAACTTCTAGAGCCATCAGAAACATAGGTCTCAGAAGTCTGAGTCCAGGAAGCAAACGTCTGGAACCAGCTTCTGATTTACTGGTGAAAATAAAAGCCCATAATCACCCAGTGAAATGGGGTACTTTTGAATGGCTGCTCAAAGGGATTTTTACCTAAGTGTGTACAGTAAATGCCTCTATCCTGCAAATGCACAATTGACTATGTGCTTTATACGTTGGAGATAAATTTCAACTGTATTCACTCTCTCTGCTTCTTTTATAAAATGAGAAAGTTGCGGGGCGCCTGGGTGGCTCAGTCAGTTAAGCATCCAACTCTTGATTTCGGCTCAGGTCATGATCTCAGGGTTGTGAGATCGAGCCCCATGTCGGGCTCCACACTCTACGGGGAGTCTGCTTGAGATTCGCTCTCTCCCTCTCCCTCAACCCCTCCCCCTGCTCTCATTATCTCTCTAAAATAAATCAATAAATCTTTAAAAAAATTAAATGAGAAAGTGGCTAAAAAGCTTATTGCTAAGCTTATGTAACCTTACCGAGAAGGAAAATAGATCAGATTGGACGTGAACTTTTGAAGGGGAGGCTGCTGTCATTACAATGCCAGATACCAGGACAGGCACTCTCCTGGGCTCACACACACACACGCGTGTGCACGCACATACACACACCACCCATCCCATTCCCCATATTACATCAAGAGGCTCAGACAACCTGGCTCCTCACGAAGACCTGTCCAGGACTTTGAATGGACAGAGGGTCCTTCCCCACGCAGAAACTCCTACCCATTTTCTCTTTCTCTCTGTTTATTCTACTTGGGGTAGTTAAGTCTCCATCTGATTCAAGTAACAGAAATGAACAGGAACTGATTTAAAGTTCCTGGAATGGCTCACAGGACCCACACACAGGACTAGAGCAACCCCAGAAGGGCCAGAACAGGACAACAGAGAGCGTGGGGGACCCAGACTCTGTCCGCTCCATGTACGTCCAGGTCACAGTCTCTGCAGGGCATGCAGCAGATCATGGCCCCCGAGAGCCCTCCAGTATGCACGGTGCTCTCCCTAATTCCAGACACCTGGCTCCAACCCCCGACCCCCCGCACCAGCTCCATTTCCAGCTTCCACTTGAGTTTCGGTGCTCAGCCCTGATCTAATCATCAAATTGGGGAGCGGGGTCTAAAAAGTGAAAGATAGGGGGCAGGAAGAAAATGGGGGAATATAATCTTCCATTTGGACCAGCATTTCAAAGACAGTCTTTGCCACATAACATAACTTCCCACATATCTACTGCTTGTCTATGTCAGAATCCATAATACTTACTATATCGGCTCCTCATAAAAGGGCTAATTAATATATACCATGAAAAAAATGTTAAGAACAGAAATCACCAGTCTAAGAAATAGCGGTGGGGTGGAGGGGAGAAAAAAATGATTATATTTTATTCCAAAATAAAAGTTTAAAACATTGCTAACATATACGATGATAATAAAGTTAAATGGTAGAATAACACAAAAGCAGAGGAAATAAGTAAGCATTTAGAATTGTTGAAATATGATTTAAATGGAAAAGTTCAGATAAAAGGAGAACTTGGAATGCCAAATTAATAAAAAGACAAGACAAAACCAACTTGATTAAAAAAAAAAGTTTGGATAACCAAAGAAAATCAATTAAGGATATATGGAAAGCTCAACTAACAAGACAGGAAATGTAAAGTAATAAGGGCAAAAAGGACAAACTAAGGAGAACTAAGAAACTAAAACTATAGTAGGCAAAATGCAGTTGGATTTCAGAGGGATAATGAGATTAAAATCAAGCCGGCAAGACATGAACAGAATAGACAATTCTAAAGCTAAAATTTTCAAACTAGGAAAGCATTTTTGCCAGGTAAGATGAAGAACAAGAACACAAAGCAATCAAACGGCCCTTCTTAAACACTGCATCAAGTCAGGGGCACCTGGGTGGCTCAGTTGATTCAGCGTGTGACTGTGGCTCAGGCTCAGGTCATGATCTCAGGGTCCGGGAGTCGAGCCCCACGTGGAGGGGGCCCCCTCCCAGTCCTTGGGCTCCACCCTCAGCAGGGAGTCCGCTTCTCCCTCCCTCTCTCCCTCTGCCCCTCCCCTGCTCATGCTCTCTCCGTCTCTTTCATAAAATCTTTAAAAACAAAAAGCTGCATGAAGTCAATCCTCCTTGGAAACCCGTTCCCCCAGACGTGTCTGCCCCGGCACAGGCTCTCAGGGCAGACAGCAGAGGGCCAGCCTGACCTGACACAAACCGCCCTTATCCAGGGAATCCTAGCCCCACCCCAACCCTCTCCCTAATCCTTCTGCCGCCCACAGTCACCAACCCGGCGTCCCGTGCACTTCCCGCGTACGCCAAAATATAGAAAGAAACGAAACGGAAGTCGTGTTCTTTTCTGGTTGGGGTGAACACCGTCGGGGAGGACGAGTAAGAGATTCATACTTGCCATGCTCCCTCGCTTCTTGCCTGGAGAATCTGCGCTATGTCTGAAAGCGTGCCTCTTTCTGTTTTGCCCTCCAGTGAGAGCACCAGGACCGCCTTGGAGAGCTGCCTACGGCAACTGAAATGCCATTTCACCTGGGACTTGGTGGAGCCGGGAAAGTCCCTGGATGATTTCGAAGACGAGGTGTGTGACGCCACGGAGTTTCAGAACGACGAATTCAGAGCCACGGTGTTCAACCTCCTGGCTTACATAGAGTACCGGCGCGGCCGCCGCGAGGCGGCGCTGCAGCACCTGCGCCAGGCGGAGGAGCTGATCCAGCGGGAGCATCCGGATCAAGCGGAAACCCGAAGTCTGGTCACCTGGGGTAACTACGCCTGGGTCTACTATCACCTGGGCGGCCACGCAGACGCTCGGATGTACGTCGACAAGGTGAGACAGGTCTGCGAGAAGTCTCGCAGCCCCTACAGAATGGAGAGTCCCGCGCTGGACTTCGAGGAGGGGTGGGCCCGCTTACAGTGTGGAGGGAGGCACCACCACAAGAGGGCCAAGGTGTGCTTTGAGAAGGCTCTGGAAAAGGAGCCCAAGAACCCAGAGTTCGCCTCCGGACTGGCCATCGCGAGCTACCGTCTGGATACCTGGCCGCTGTCTCAGAATCCCATCGACCCTCTGCGGCGGGCCATTCGGCTGAATCCCGACAACCAGTATGCCAAAGTCCTCTTGGCTCTGAAACTTCAGAAGATGAACGAAGAGGGGGAAGGAGACAGGCTCGTGGAGGAGGCGCTGAAGGGAGCTCCGTGCGCGACAGATGTGCTCTGCGGAGCAGCAAAACTGTATCGGAGAAAAGGGGCGGTGGACAAAGCTATAGAGCTGCTGAGAAAGGCTCTAGAAGGCATGCCGAACAATGCCTCCCTGCACTGGCATATCGGCTGCCTCTACAGGACAAAAGTCCTCGAGATCCAGGACACAGGAAAGAATGAGATGTGCGGGAAAAGGGAGAAGTTACAGGAAGCCACAGGACAAGCTGTGCATCATTTAAAGAGAGTGGATGAGGCCAATGCAGACTTCCCCTGTGTCTGCTCCTACCTGGCCTGCCTCTATGCGCAGGTAGGCCAGTATGACCACGCGGAGCATTACTTCCAAAAAGAATTCAGCAAAGCGCTTTCTCCTGGGGACAGACAGGTGCTCCATCTGCGCTATGGCAACTTCCAGCTGTATCAAATGAAGAGTGAGGACAAGGCCATCCATCACTTCATACAGGGTGTGAAAATCGACCTGGAATCAAAGGAGAAAGAAAAGATGAAAAATAAGCTGGAAAAAATTGCCTATACCAGGCTTTCTAAAAATGAAGCCGATTCCATAGCTTTGCACCTCTTGGCGTTTCTTCAGGAGCTGAGTAGAGACACCCGGCCAGCAGAGGAAAATCCTGAGAGGCATTTGGACTCTGGAAGCTTCCTCTGTTCAGCATCTTTTGCTGAGGAATGAGGAATCGGGATACGGTGCGAGTGGGACGATGGAGGGAAGGGAGCAGAAACCCCTCCACCGAGTGGGTATTCACGATATTGGACAACTGGTCCAGCGGCATAGGCATGGACTGGGCTGCTGGCCATGGGTCTGGACCAGGTTTGTGGAGGAACCTGCTGGGCCGAGTGTTAAAACATGAATTGCTCATGGAATTCTGAGACAGGGACTAGACTGGAGCGGAAGGGTCCCAGGGCTTGGTTAGGGGGCTACTTCCCAAGTGACCTCTTGGGAGCAGTTTGCATTGGGACATTCCCTTAGTCATCCTCCGTGCGGTGATGCCTTGGGTTTGTGTCTAGGTTTATATAAAGCAGCCAGATCCCTCACATCTGTAACAGTGTGGTCCGTTTTTGCAATGTTTTTCCACCCTTGGAGTCATTTTAGATCTTACACAGTTTGGCCCTGCATAGACGCTAATGTGCTGTGTCCATTGAAAGGCCAGAGGACCAAAGCCTCCGTAGGACTGGGTATCTCCTCTCCCTCACTTCCACCTCCTCCCCAGACAGTCCTCAATCTAGACTGTCCTATACAACCTGAGTTCAGTTGTCCCATTGACTGAGGTGGGAACATAGTTTGAAAAAAAGAGAACAGAGAACAGGTTGAATTTAGAAGGAACACATCCAAGACAAGCAATGGGGTCAGGCCATCAGGGTCCAAGAGTTTCAGGAGGCACATGGGGACATTTCGCCTCCATTCTGCCCTCCCTGTATTACAGCATGTGAAGAATTAAAAAGGGGGATTCTGTAGAATATGCTAGAAAGCAAAATAACTCATTTCTTTAAAATGTCTGGAAAAAGAAATGTCACGCCAGTGGGGACAGGGATTGAGTAGACAAAAGAGAAAGAGAGAAGAATGCTGTCATTGTATACTGTAATCATATGGAGAAAAATCTCATTTTCTTGGCCACTGTTAGGAAAATTTCCTTGTACAACGAAGACTTGCTTTGTTTGGAAATGCTTGGATGAGCCCAGGCCCAAGGTAATAAAAAAAACAGCAGAACAGAAGGCTCATTTGGACACCAAGGACCTAGCGAAAGGTCTTGTGAAATGACATCAATAACAGAGAGTTTTTTTCCCCAATTAGACATGTTGTACGTTAGGTGAAATAAAACTTCTCACCCTGAAAATCCTCAAGGGAACCATAAAATTCATGGTTTGCTTGGGGTGATTGGGGTTTTCTAGGTAAATACTGAATGGCCCATGATATCAGGATTAGTGCGAACCAAAACAGACTCAGGTGACCCAGCATGAAACAGACCCTCAGTCATCCTCTGGGTTGCAAAATATTTGCCTGTTCAGATTAATTTAAATTTAAATAGTGGTTACCAGGGGCTGGGGGTTGGGGAGGTGGGAGAGATGTTGTTTGAAGGTACAAACTTACAACTAGTAAATAAGTCCTGGAGATCTAAGGTATAGTATAGTATCTTGGATATAGACAACAATATCGTATTATAATCATCAAACTTGCTAAGAGGCTAGATCTTGATTATTCACACCACAGAAAAGAAATGATAATTATATGATAAAGGTGATAACTATCACTATAGTAACTTTTGCTACAATCATATTACAATATATAAATGTATCAAATCAACCTTAAATTTGTACAGTATTATATGTGAAATGTGCTTCAATAACTTTAAGTATATATTAACATTTTTATTAAGCAATGAAAACATTATATAAACTTCAAGATTTTTTTTAAGTTAAAAATTCCAACTACCATAATGGTTTTCACGTTATTTTCTGTATTAAAAATTGTGTTGTGTGCACTTGAGACCAGCAGTATGCATAGTATGGATTCCTGAAAAAAGCCATAGATTTAATGAATAAATAATTTAGAGGTGATGGAACATAAAGGAGTGTTCTGGGTTTCTTTTGAAATTTTGCTGCACTATAAGTCTTCTAGACCCAGCTACTGATTAATGAAACGTTTTATTGGTTGCAAACTGGCTCCATATAACCCAGACTGGTCTAACATTATAACCACTGAATGGAACAGACTTTTTTTTCTCTCTAAGCCTTAAGAATCCAGGACTCTAGCTTACACCCTGACGCCCACCACCGTGCACCCCTATGCACACAAACCCCCAGCCCCCCCACTCGGACAGTGGGTGGACTGTTTCTCCTCTCTGTTACATCTTGTTAACACCATGTGTTTCCATCTGCATTCTGTCTCCTGTTCTGCCCTCCATTATGAGAATGAGGAAGTGTCGCCCATTCTGTTATATGCCCCACTCTGGAGGCGATCCAAACGCATGTTGGAGAGTTTTTTCCTATTAATTAAAGACTAGAAAGAGACAAACAGCCCTGAAGTCTCTCTTGTTTTCTGAGAGGTCTTGATGGAAAATAAGATTTACACCAGGTGAAAAGGTAAACTCATTCCATCGGACTGAATTGGACTAGCGTACATCTTAGGGAAAGGTTTAGCTTCCTTTTTATTGGATCTGGTGCCTGGGGAGGAAAACCAGGGGTGTTCTGAATGGAAGGTAGAGAGGCAGGCACACTGACCTTGCAAGAGGACCACTAGCCCCTGTAGAGTGCTGAAGAAGGCCCGCCAGGTGTATGCAATCTTGCCCATGCAGCAAAACCCTTGCTAGAACAGGTTCCTGAAAGGAAAAAGGTGGAAAGAATAGGGAGGACACAGATGACATAGTACACTCAAGTTTTATTTGAGGACGTAAAGCCCATGGAAATGATTAGAAAACAATAAACAAAACTATGTCTATAGCTCACGTTCCCTGAAATCTCACTATCCAGGGACAATGAATGGAGCCACGTTACCTGGGATGACTCGTCATCCCCTGGCTCTTAGCGTCATTTCTCAGTGCACGACATTTGACTCCCCTCAGATACCCACCCAGGAAAATAACAAGCCCCTGGTAGGCGTGGCCTGGGCGTTGATGAACAAGTCCGTCAGAATGACCCGACCGCATCTGTTATGTGTCTCCTCAGGCACCCATACGCACTAATGTCCTCTGCCCACAAAACTGCTTCAATACGTCTCATCATTCTCTACATCTGATTGCCACCTCAAGAGTCCTGATACCCTGACAAAGATGTTCTCAAATACGTTAGTGACCATGAAGGAGTAAGGAGAATTTCTCTCATCTGGCTGGGTGCCAAGGAGTACTGAGTACTGATTTGCCAGCCTCAGAGTCCTCAGTGAAAGATTCATCAGCTTCTGCCCGTAGCCCCTTTTACCACAGAGCTCAGAGACAGTCCCCAGGGGCAGCAGACCTCGAGTCATGGTCCATGTTTATCTTTCTTCCTACCTCCTGTCAACTGCCTTTCAATCTGCGCCCGGTGCGACGTGTGTACAATCAACCTCGGATGCCAACCAGGGAAATGTGGGTTCCCCAGAGAGAGCATGTGTTCCTGTCTCCCCACCCACCCTTCCTCCACCATCTCCCCCAGCACCTAGTTTTGGGAAGGGAGTCATTTGGTTTGACTAATAAGTAAGAAACTTTCCTTCTAGTTTACAGTACAACTGCTTCTTGCTGGTGATCTGTACCTTCCTGGGAGGCTGCAAGAGGGAAACCAACTAAAATTCTTTGTATAACACGGCGCAGGGACTCACAAACAGTTCAGCAGCTCCTCAAATGGTTAAACGTAGTGTTACTCTATAGCCCGGCGATGCCACTCCTAGGTATGTACCCAAGAGAAAGGAAAACATGCTCCTATCAACTTACATGTGAACGTTCATAGCAGCATTATTTATAATAGGCAAAAACTAGATTCAATAAGGGGTGCCTGGGTGGCTCAGTTGGTTAAGTATCTGACTTCCACTCAGGTCATGATCTCAGGGTCCTGGGATTGAGCCCCGCAGCAGGCTTGAGTCTGCTTCTCCCTCTCTCTCTGCCCCTCCCCCTGCTTGTGCTCTCTCTCTCACTCTCTCTCTCTCAAATAAAAAAATAAAATATTCAAAAAAAGAAAAAAAAGTAGATTCTTCAACTGATGAACTGACCTATTAAATAAGGGATAGTCACACAGTGGAATATTACTCAGCAGTATAAATAAGTATAGTACTTATTACATTTATTCCAAAGAAATGTAGCACTGATACACACTACAATATAGATAAACCCTGAAAACATTATGTTAAATGATAGGAGCCAATCACAAAAGGTCTATTAATATGAAATGCTCAGAAAAGGCAAATCTATAGAGATAGACAGTAGGTAGGGGTTGCCTAGGGCTGGGGTGAGAGGCAGGATCATAGTTGACAACAAAGGGGCATGGAATTTTCTTTTGGGAGTAATGAGAATCTTCTAAAATTAACTGTGGTGATGGTTGCACAGCTCTGTGAAATGCTGAAAGCTATTGAATTGGACCCTTTAAGTGGGTAAACCTCATGGTATATAGATTACATTTCAATGGAACTATTAAAAAACTCATAATAGCCAAAAAGTAGATTAATCAACTGATGAAGTAACTCGTGTTTCAAATGAATATAAAGAAAGCCAGCTCTTCTGCTGCCTTCTATTTTTAACCTCTAGGTTTGTTTTCATTGTATTGTACCCTTCTTATTACTAGCATTTAAAATACTGTTACTGCTTTTGGGGCGCCTGGGTGGCTCAGTCGTTAAGCGTCTGCCTTCGGCTCAGGTCATGATCCCAGGGTCCTGGGATCGAGCCCCGCATCAGGCTCTTGTTACACAAGAGTCTCTGCTTTCTGTAGTTTCAAGAATGGAGGGAGCCTTTCTCCTATCTACCTGACCACTCTTTCATCAAATCAACCATGAAAACTATACTCCCTAGGTTTTTATGACTATATACATCATGGCTAGAAGTTTTACAAAAATTAAAAAAAAAAATCTCAGGATCCTAATCAGTCCTTCAGAGCTTGAAGCATAAATACATGAATTTATGAGACAGCCATTAAACAATATTACATGGGTTACTATTCCCATTTTACAGCTGGGAAAACTAAAGGATGGTCTTAGGCCTCACAGATCTAAACTGC